TGCAATGCCGAAGACAACCTGCGCGCCGGACACATCGTCATTGGAAGACTGGTTCGGGGGCTACTGAGGGAGTCCTGGACTAAGGGGTCCTCGGGCGTCCGGCCTGTTGGACATGGGACAGACTGATGGGCTATGAAGATACAAGACCAAAGACTTTCACCCATGTCCAGATGGGGCTCTCCTTGGCGTGGATGGCAAGCTTGGCGTTCGGATATGAAGATTCCTTTCTCTGTAATCGACTATGTATAACCCTAGTCTCCTCCGGTGTTTATATAAACAGGAGGGTTTTAGTCCGTAGAGACAATCATAATCACATAGGCTAGACTTCTAGGGTTTTAGCCATTACGATCTCGTGGTAGATCAACTCTTGTAACCCCTATACTCATTGATATTAATCAAGCAGGACGTAGGGTTCTACCTCCATCAAGAGGGCCCGAACCAGGGTAAACATCGTGTTCCCTGTCTCCTATTACCGTCAACCTCAGACGCACAGTTCAGGACCCCCTACCCGAGATCCGCCGGTTTTGACACCGGCATGGGCACCCTCTAGTAGTTATTTGCTCCAATAATTCTTATATATTCCATAAAAAATCTCCATGAAGTTTCAGCTCATTTGGAGCTGTGTAGAATAGGTAGCCTGACATAGCTTTTTCAGGTCCAGAATTCCAGCTGCCGGTATTCTCCCTCCTTGTGTGAACCTTGCATATTATGAGAGAAAAGGCATTAGAATTACTCCAAAAGGCATTATTTTACATAAAAACAATATAAATAACAGTAGGAAAACATGATGCAAAATGGAAGTATCAATAATATTGATGCCAAAAGATGCAAAATTAATGATCATAGTACCACAAACTTGTGGCATTGCCGCTTAGGTCATATTGGTGCAAAGCACATCAAGAAGCTCCATGCTGATGGACTTTTGGAGTAACTTGATTATGAACCATTTAAAACATGTGAACCATGCCTCATGGGCAAGATGACTAAAACCCCGTTTTCCGGTACAATGGATCGGGCAAGTGACTTATTGAAAATAATACATACCAATGTATGCAGTCCGATGAGTGTTGAAGCACGCGGTGGATATCGTTATTTTCTTACTTTCACTGATGATTTGAGTAGATATGGGCTTAATGAAACACAAGTCTGAAACATTTGAAAAGTTCAAGGAATTTCAAAGTGAAGTGGAAAGTCATCGTAACAGGAAAATAATGTTTCTACTATGGTCCTAGTTGTCAGTCAAGGGTGGACTTGCAACTGTGATGTAAAAATGAAAACACAGGCTCCAATTGCGAGTCAAGGGTGGGCTTGCAACTGGGACAACTACGAGCCCAGGTGCAAGTCGAGGGTTGACATGCAACTGAGACAACTATAAAACAACGAGGCCAGTTGCGAGTCAAGGGTCGACTTGCAACTGGGATGAAATAAACTATAGGCCCAGTTGCGAGTCAAGTGTGGACCTGCAACTGCGAAGAAAAATAAAACATATGTCGAGATGCGAGTCGAGAGTGGGCTTGCAACTGATATGAAACAAACTACGGTCCTATTTGTGAGTCGAGGGTGTACTTGCAACTGGGGTAACTGCAGAAAACTACTATATGCGTTGCGAGTCGAGGGTGGTCTTGCAACTGAGACAACTACACAAAACAATGAACAACTGGGACAACAAAAAAACTATGGGCCCTATTGTAAGTCGAGGGTTTGACTTGCAAATGGGACAACTAGGAAACTACGAGCCCAGTTGTGAGTCAAGGGTGGACTTGCAACTGGGATAATACAAAGTTAGGGCCAAGTTGTGAGTCATGGACGGGCTTACAACTTGGACAACTACACAAAACTACGATACCATTTGCGAGTCGAGGGTGAACTTACAACTAACACGTTAAAAAACTACAAGCCCAGTTGCGATTCAAGTGTGGACTTGCAACTGGGATGAAAACAAAACACACACCCAGTTGTGAGTCAAGGGCGGACTTGTAACTAGGACAACTACGAAACTACGGGTCCCATTGCAAGTCAAGGATCGACTTGCAGTTAGGATGAAACAAACTATGAGCATGGTTGCGAATCAAGGATGGACTTGCAACTCTGATGAAAAACAAAAACAAATGCTCCATTTACAAGTTGAGGGTGGACTTACAATTGAGATAACTATAAAACTACAAGCCCAGTTGCAATTCAAGAACGACTTGCAAGTGGGATTAACTCAAACTAGAATTCCAGTTGCGAGTCAAGGGTGGACCTGCAAATGAGATGAAATATAAAACATAGGTCGAGTTGCAAGTGAAGGGTGGGCTTGCAACTAGGATGAAACAAACTACGGGCCTAGTTACGACTTGAGGGTGGACTTATAACTAGAACAACTACACAAAACTATGATACAAGTTGCGTGTCAAGGGTGGACTTGCAATCGGACAACTAAACAAAACTAACATCAAAACTATGGACCCAATTGGGAGTCGAGGGCAAACTTGCAAGTGGGACAACTACAAAACTACAAGTCTAGTTTTGAGTAAAGGGTGAACTTGCTACCGGGATGAAACAAACTACCGGCCTAGTTGCGAGTCAAGGGCGGACTTGCAACTGGGACAACTGCACAAAACTGCAATACTATTCGGGAGTCAAGGGTGTACTCACAACTCGAAAAATAACAAACTACGAGCCCAGTTGCGAGTCGAGCATGGATTTGCAATTAGGATGAAAAACAAAACACATGGCCAGTTGTAAGTCGAGGGTGAACTTGCAACTAGGACAACTACGAATCCATTTGCAAGTCGACGGTGGACGTTACAAATGGTCCACCAAGTCAAAAAAACGCACAGCAAAAACAAACAAGAAAGAAATAGGCCACGCCTCCCAAACACCAGAATAGGCCGACACAAAATAAAATGGGACAAGAGGACACATGACAAAAAGAACGGGCTGACACGAGGCGCACATGATCGAGTTTGTGCGAACATTAAACAAATCGAATGACTAATAGACTTAGATGAGACATCACTAAATCTCATCTAGAAGAGATTTAGCAAATCGGAAAAAATAATCTAATTATGCCCTTCTCTACTACATAGTCAAATCAAAATAAATAAAACAAGGAATAAAAATACGGGTGACCCTCCACAAAAAAGATACAACCCACAGAATAAAGCCAACACACAAAATATAAAAAAGCCCACCAAAAATGTCATACCGGACCTCACTGCTTCATAAGGGGCGAACGAAAACACATCACAACCACAACAAACGCGACTCATAAGCACATCCATCTAATAGTGTATGAGTTATTCACTCCGTTCTTAAATATTTGTCTTTTTAGATATTTGAAATGAACTATCATATACGGATGTATATAGACAGCTTTTAGAGTGTAGATTCACTCATTTTGCTCCGTATGTAGTCACTTATTGAAATCTCTAGAAAGACAAATATTTAGGAGCGGAGGGAGTAGATTAGACATTGTTAACTCTTATCTAAATGAGAATTAGTAAAAACAATTCGAAATGGGCCCCTAGATCACGCCATAAAAACGGCCTAACAAAAAACACACATGCAAGCAGGTCGACAAGTAAACACGAGACACATGAAGTAACATGGGATATGGCGCCAAAATAATTTTTGATCTAGATTTGCAGGACATTTAAACAGAACAGATGATAATATGTTTTTTTCATGAATTTAAAATAAATAATCAAAGAATGAAAAAGGAAATTTAATAGAAAAAGGAAAAAAGAAAAAGGGAGAAACTAGAAAATATAAATAAGTAACAAAAACATGAAAATAAATAGTTTATAATTCAAAAAAAAGGAGAAGAACGCATGGAGCAGCCCATATGGACTATAGCCCATAAAAGAACCTATATGAGCCGAACGCAGCTACTATAATGTAGCCTACGGGACAACAAGACAACGACGTTAAGAAACAAAGCGAGCCCACAATTTAAAAGAGCACAAATCTTAAAGTTTTTCATCAAATGACTTAGAAATTAGGTGTGAGATAAATATTTCACATCTAGATGTGAAATAGCAAAACTGTAAAATCTAACGCAAGGTACATCATGGCTCAAATGGGGGGAAATGGAAGCTAAATAGTACAAGGATTACCATAATCTGGTTATGTTTAGCATTGTGCTGATACTCAATTTTGTTTAGTTGAACAACCTTTTTCTTATTTTGCTGCTTGGGGCACCTGGCAAGATGTTCCGGGACATCTTTATTTTTGTGACCCAGGGTTTCAAGATGGATGCACGCACAGTGTGGGCACATGAATCGTTGGCCGCTTCAGGACATGCATGTCCTCCCACACAAGAATAAATGAAGTCGGAAACACTGCACAATCGCGCTGTTGACGAGCCTGTCGTCTTCCCCATCAAGTACATCACGTTACTAACCCCGCAAAAAAGAAAGTACATCACGTTACTATAATTTATCAGTATTATTACTACGTACACTGTAGAATCGTTGAAGGATGTTCCCCCACGAAGAAAGTCATGACTGATGGATGCAACACAAAATAGCGAAATACTCCTACTAAGATGAGAGAAGAGAAAATGCCATGTGGTAGTATATTTCAGTGCCTAGGAATGACTGAATGGCACGCACGAAAATCATGCAAAGAGGCCGAGGCGCCTGGGGGAGCTGCCTGCCTGCGCCACCGCCCCCGGTAGGTCCATGGCGCCGGGGCTGCCGCACCACGTCCACGCTCCGCCAGTGCACAGCAGCACCGTCCACAGCTACACATGCAGGCCGGCCCTGCCCTGCCATGCCACGGTAGCCCACCACGTGCATCCATCACTCCAGCACCACCTCACTCACTGCCATACATACATGTACACTGACGGTGCGCGCCCCTGTACGGCACGGCCACAGTACGTACGTATGCGGCCGCGTACGCTCGGCGGCCGGCCCGGGCGGCCGGCGCTACACGCCGCGTCTTCTTCCCGCCGCCGGACGTTCGACCGAGGCCACCGACGCGCGCGGGCTGCATGTGGCGGCGGCCGGTGGTCACGGCATGTAGAGGCGGTCGCGGCACTTGCAGCGCCACGCCACCGGGTAGTACTCCGTGGTGACCAGCACGCCCGGCGGCACGGACACGTGCACGGGCACGCACGGGCTGCAGCTGCCGCACTTGGACGTGCACCGCGGCGGGTGCGACCCGGGGCCGGGGCCCCCGGCCAGCAGCCGCCGCCTGCCGCCCCCATGGTGGTAGCCGTCCTGCGACACCAATGGAAACTGCTCGTTAGCTCACGACTGAAAATATCGCGTCCGCGCAATCAATCAAGCACGTAGTAGTACGTGCGCGTGTGGTCCGAGCGCCCGGCCGTGCGCGCGGCGTTAATGTGCTGCTACGCAAAAGTCGTACGGGCAGCGAGCGACGACGTCTGGTCGCCACCTCGGCGACGTGACCGACGTCTGGTCCCCGACGCGCGCCGTGGAAGGCCTGTCGGAAGCTAGCAGTAGCAGGTGCGCCGTACGCCGCCGTGAGCTGGCCGGCTGGCGGTCGCTGTCCGCGGCCGGCGACGGGACCAGCGAGCGACGCCGACGAGACGGCGGCGCTGGCCCTAGCTAGCCAAGGTCCGCGTCCTTAATTTTGACGCATCCTGGTGGATTATCGTTGCGCAAGTCGGCGAAGTCGCAATCGTGTGATTTGGATTCGTGCCTTTGTCAGACGCATCGGCCGAAGCCAAACATGAAAACTTGCGACATCTAGCTAGGATGGACGGCATCTTTGTTTGCTTTGCTCTCCACAGATTTTTCTTACATGAACAGAGAAGCTAAGCTAGCTAGCAGGGGAACACTCTAGAGCTTAACACACTCAAGACTCAACACAAGAAGATCGATCAAACTCACCAGATCACCGGCGTAGATCGCTGCTCCTGCCATCCTCCCAGAATCTGTCGAGAGGAAACTGAAACGAGTTAACAACACACTACAACACCTCGCATCATCATCATATAGAGGCTTCAAAAAACAAGTGTATGATACTACGCTTTACGCTCTCTTCTCAGATCTGCAGCTGTAGCAAGCAGAAAAGAAAGAGAAGGAAAGAAACCAAGAACAAGCACGAACGCGCGCAAGATGAAGAGATCTTTGCCAACACAACACAAGGGAACGCACACCCGCTAGCCCAGCTCATCGCTTACCCGGCCGGAGCACGCCGCTTCCCCAGCGCCCGACGACGAAGCAACCGCAGCAGAGGGAGGCGACGACGAGCAGCCGTAGCATAGATCCGCCGTTGCACCCCGCCGGCCGGCTCCCCCTGGGTGGCGGCATTGCCAGACCCGCAGCCCAGCTACCTTCAGTTTCCTGGTCTTCAGAAGGAAGGAAGAAAGGGAGGGAGGGAGAAGCTCCGCCTCAGCTAGCCAAGGCGAAAGCCCGAAGCCAACACACTAGGCGAGAGGAAGAAGAAGACACGGGGACGGGGACGAGGGCGGGGGCGGGGTGGTGCGGTTGTGGGGGCACTGTACAGGCTGCATCGCATCTGGGAGCCCAGCTCCTCTAAGCAGCTGTTATATATGCCGACTCGAGTCGACACTGTCAGTCAGTGGCCACCCATGGCTGGCCGCATCTGCATGTATGCACACACCCGGTAGCTGGCGGGGAGGCAGGCGCGGTCGCCAACTTTTAATATCGGGCGCGCACAAAGTACGGCGTACGCCATGTGCGTTCACCTACACGTATACTACCTGTACGGCTTCCAATCTTGGCGTGTGCGATACCATGCCACTTCTGCTTACCTACAAGGTTTCTACTAAGTACTCTAGTACGTAGCTGTGCAGTATTGTGCTTACCTACAAAGTTGCTACTACTAGCAGCGTGGCGTACTACTAGACGGGGTCGAGCTCCGGACACCGGTAAAAAGAGGGAAGGGCTTGTGGCCATCAGTCATGTTCTTTTCACGGGAGGGTATCAGCCCAACTCCAACGCACGACCCAAATAGTTCGGCAGCATCAGTATGAGAGTAAACGGACGCAGGACATGGCCCAACGCAAGAAAGTAAACGGATAAACGTTCATTTTTGTCCGCTTTTAACCCATTACCGGCCTAAATTTAGACTGCATTTGCGTCAAAATGGACACGAGCGGACGGACGGGACGTGTGCCCTTGTTCTCCCTTGCCCCCCGTCGGTGACACAAACGCCTTTTTTTCTATTCCCCTCCCCCTCCCACCGCCCCCGCCCCTATCCCTGCCATAGCCGCCGCCCATTTTCCCGGCCACCTCCCTGTCCAGCCCGCCCGCCCCCCAAGCATGACCATTGCATTTGTGCCTCTCTCGCCCGGACGCAGGCGGCCAACCGCTAGAACTTCGGCGACGGGATTTGGCGCATCCGGGGCACCAACGAGTGCAGCTTGCCATGGATTGGCTAGCTACCGCATCACACAGCCAAGGCAACGCCTCCGAGGCGCATGCAAATACTGACTGCGCCGCTAGCCGCTCGGATCTATCCCGTCGGCAGTTCGCCGGCAAAGACGAGCCTGGCCGTAGCCCGGGCTCGGCGTTGGCCCAGCGGCTCGCCGGCTCACTGATGTCGGTAATAAAATGCGACGACTACCCGCAGAAGGTCGTGCGCCGTGTTTCTATCACGCCAAAACATCCCGGATGAGTGTTCTTCAAGTGCAAAAATATGGGGTATGTGCTTCTTTTGATTCGGATGTTCACCGGATTTAGCGCAATTTCGGTAGCTCATTGTTTGCCAAATTTGTATGTAGGATGGATGCAAATTTTGGTATTGAGAAGAAGAATATATTGATCTATCGATAGAATGAAATTTTATAGATGCTCCAGTACTCCTTTCTAGAATAGAGGCTACGGATGAGATTAGATGCGAAGCAACGTCTATTTTTTTAGAACCGTAGAAGAAAGAAGTGTGCAAGTTCGAGAAGTCGCAGATTAACAATGAAGACGTAGAGAAGATATTAATCCAAATAGTGGGAGCAGTTACAGAAGTTGGATATTTTTTTAAATGTCAAATTGCGATTTTTGTTTTTTTTATCTTGATTTCAGCGAAGAATTAGTGAATTATGTACTGCAATGTATCAAAATGTTGTTCATGAAATAAAAGCAATGTGTTTTCGGTGGTAAAGAAAGTGCACACAGGGGCTCCGGCCGGCCGTGATGGACCAGATGCTTCCGCTTGTTGGGCGCACGGCCGGACGCAGCCGAAACTGGGACCAAACGGACGTTCGTTTGGTTCGTGCGTTGGAGTTGGCATCATACAAGTAAGTGTAGTCGCTGGTAAATGGGGCTGCTCTGTCTGAGAGCAATCTTTTTCCTTTTTTACTTTCTTTTCTTTGGTCGTAGTAGCTTGTAGTGGTATCGGTACGGCTCGTTACAGATTAACATGGGCAGCAAGCAGGCAGAGAGAGGATACAGGATAGGACCACCAGAAATGTTGCAATGCGTGCGTGCAGAAACACTGGCACTCCTCCACTGCCCAGAGTTTTGTGCCATGGCTAATTACTCCCACTCCTACTTTGGTGGTCCAGTGAGAGAGACGAGACTGAGACGTCGACCGTGGCAACAAAGCCGAGCTCCGGTCCTCACTTCCGGGAGTCAAGCGTTCTGCAGCTCTATGATTCAGAGGAGTTCATGTGTTGCCTCTGCGTCCGCGCATGCACTGGCTGGCTCGTGTCTTAACTATCGCCAGGAATCACGTGGGTCGTCATCGGATTATTTCGGGGAGACCTTGGCGGCTTCTCGGTTCACCTCTCCTCCTCCGCCGTGAACCATCACCGCTGTGGAGACGAGGGAGACGCTGCCGAGTACGCGGGCGGTTCCCTCTCTTTTGGTGGTGTGCTAATGTTGGTCAAACTGGCTGGTGTGCTCCTGGGAACCCTCGTACTCAGGTGGGCTCTCTTTTGTCTGGTAATCAGATGTGGTGCAGACCGCGATGGATTTGGACTTTGTTGACGTTTATATAAATTGTTGTACTAAATCAGTGACACTTCTTGTTTTAGATAGAGAAAATAGTATACAAAAACAGTTTTATTAAATCTTAGTTGACTTGGGCTTCGTCAAGTCTCAGTCAACTAGACCTAGCCACACCCTAACAAAAAATGTGAAATGTGAAGAACCTAACCCCGTCATTGCCATCACAACTATCTTAAAGTTCCAGACAGCTAACTCGACGATCCCATTGCCAGGTCCCGATTGAGAGGAAGAGGAGGCAAGCATCTGGTTTACGTGAGGTCTCGTCGACGAAGGACTCAATCAGACACCACACCCGTAGCGTAGCACGCACTGCACAAGCTACTGCTAGCCAGCGAAGCCCTGGCGAGTACATTCTAGCCGTCTAGCCATCACGTCGTCACCCTGCGTGTAAGGTGTGTGACACAGTGACATGCCATTTCAACAACTAGTGGTGGCACGGCGTTTCGATCCGAACCGACCGGGAGGATCTGCGCCCGGCCAGCCCGTGCATGCATGCATGCACGGCGGGAAGCTCAACGGCCAAATAATTGGATGGCTCCCTCCAAGTCAAGAGGGGGAATCCCAGCCTTCAAGCTCCGGAAAACAAAAGAAAAACAAGCCAAACCCGGCGCGGCGACGAGAAATAAGAGGCTGGCTGGCTGGCTGGCTGGTCTGGACGGTGCAGCAGCCTCGTCAGCTTCAGAGAGGAATCCCCCGGGCCGGACACGCCGTCTTGTCCCTTCACCTTCGCCCGGCCCGGCCATGCCCTGCCCTGCATGTACGTAGCTTCCTCTACCACGCCACTACTCGAACTTCGAACTCCCAGCGCACGCAGCGCAGCGCATGCATGCATGCTTCAGGGCTCTTTTCATACTCCGTGCAAGGCGCGCAGCAGTAAAATTCATGGAGTACTTGCGTCGTCGTGGATGCCGCGGTTCGGGTTCGTCGCCTGGACTCCGAGGAGACTTTGTGCATGCATGCATGCATGCACCGGGCCGCGCCAGCGCGCTCTCCGGCTCTGAGTGCGGCCGGTGTCGCCTCCGTGCAAGGCAGCAGTAAAATCCATGGCGGTCTGGGACTGCGCCTCCCTCACCGGCGCGGCCATGCCCTGCCAGCCCCGTACGTACTGAGCTAGCTTTCTCCTCCACCACCACTCCCAGTACACCCAGCGCAGGCAGACGATGCAAAGCTTCCCCCAGTGGCTTTACCATGCTTTTGCGTCGTCGACGCGGATAGATAGACAGACGCCCCGGTTCGTGTTCCGGTGCCTCGTAATCTGAAAATGCTGGGATTCGCAGGCAGAGACCTTGTACGTCATGTCGTCATCCACCCATGATCCATGCATGCACGCCGCGGGCTTCGCTGGCGCGCGTGCCCTCCGGCGCCGAGCCCGGCCGGGCCGGTGTCGGCACCGTGCAAGAAGCTGCAGTAAAATTCCGGTGCAAGCCGGAAGCGGTAAACATTGCGGTGGGTGAGACTGAGAGGGGGAGCAGTGGGGAATTAAAGGCGGAGCCACGAGCAAAGGTTGGGTCACATCGGCCGCGACTGGACTCGGGATGGATCCATCCATCCATCGGCCGCGTCGACGTCTCAGTCTCAGAGACGGTGAGATTGGAAACCGGAAAGGCATCTCTGTCTGGCCGCCCGCCCGTCTCTTTCCAGCTGCTCTGTCTCCGTCTCCATGGGCGAGGAGAGGAGAGGAGGGAAGGGAAGGTCATGTGCCTCAACAGTGCCACATGCTGCTGTTTTCCTTTCCCCTGCTGCTCACTGCATGCAGGCTTCACTATGCGTGCGGTGGTAGCGACACGCTGGCCGCCTACTGTTTCGCCGCTGCGTCGCTCTTGATTGATCGAGTGGTAGCACTAGTGCCTTGCTCCGTCTCTGTGGCTCGTGTGCGCGCGCTGTGTGCTGCAAACAATGGACGGTGAAATTCTGCAGGCGGTGACAATGTCCTACAGACTCTTTTAGTCGCTAAAATGAGATCTTTTGTTGTATAATAACAGTTTTGCTAAGTCTCAGTGTCTCAATCTCCATGGATAGCTGCACATTATGTATGTATGTTCCCAATAATGGCAAGAACTCCTGAGAGCCGACGATCTGATGGTAAACTATGAACCGAAAAAATACTAGTATTGTGCCTCCAAATGGAGGTCTCGTCACACCAAAACTATGCGCTGCAAGTATTCCATCGAAGGTGATCATTTCAGAGGATTAAAGAAATAAAAGGCGTACTTCTTCTTTCTCAACGCATTTTCTGAATTTCATCCAGGGAAACCCAGACATGGACGCACTTTTGCTGGCACAGTACCCGCACTAGGCGCCTCACCCAGGGGCTCGCAAGTCCGACGGATAAGATGCATGTGGGCGGCTTCATGCGAGATGGCGTCCATCGTTGTAGCAGACAGATTTTCCAAAGGGGGGCAGGCCTGGGGTCCCGTCGCCATGATCCACTCTAGTTAATCTCATCAGCTTTTCTGCCAGCGTGTGAACCTGCGATTAAGGCTAGCTACTCGGTACCATCTGCCATTCTATGGCCCTACTCCCTCCGTCCGCCAAAGAGTGTGCATCTGACACTTTGGAGATAAATTAAGCATTTTTGCATAAAACCCCTTACTCTCCTCATTTAAATAGCTAGCAGCGCCTGTGTTGCTTCGATTATAGTGTGCAGTTAATGCAAACAAGCAAAAAGGAATTCAAATACTAAAAATGGCTTCCCGCCAGCAAGTGTACTCCAACTTTCACTGTTCCCTCCAACAGTTGTAGTACTAGTAAAACAACAAAGATACTTGGCGCCACAAAAATTAGAAGGGAGACCAATGGTCTAATCCCAGCTACAAAGCCAGCTTACATGGACCAAACAGTAGACCACACACACACACACACTAGCCATGGCTATCGACTTGAACTTAGCAGCACCAGATGAGCGAGAGGAAGAAGATGGCAGGTTGCCTGATCTCAATTGGCAACCTGTACAGGAAGAAGATGAAGCTGCCTTGGATGAGCAAGCTGTACAAGAAGAAGATGGAGCTGCCTTGCATGAAGAACTCCAACCCGAACATCACTTTGATCTAAACATGGACCCAGGTACTCCTTGCTAATCTATTCAATTCTTCTTGTTCAATCCTTCTTCTTGTTCACTTCGATCTAAACATATTTCTTAATGTAGAAGATGAACATGAGCCCGATGTTGTCCATGGAGAAGAGGACCTACATGAACCGGATGAATCAGGTTAGTAAAATAAATTTGTGTTGAAACTACATTGACAACGTACAAGCGACAAGACAAACAATTTTCAAAAGTGCCTGTTATAGAAAGCCAAGACCGAGAAAATATTCTCTATTCATAGTTAAATTTGTCAAAAAGAAATCTTGACCTGTGTTATGACTTTTGATTTTCAAAACCGTGCATGAAGAACTCCAGCCCGCACGTCACTTCAATCTAAACACGGGGCAATGTCTTGAGGTAGAAGATGAACATGAGGCTGATGTTGCTCAAGGAGAAGAGGACCTGCATGAATCGGATGAATCGGGTAAGTAAGATAAATTTATGTTTAATTAAAATCTTATTCAACTACTCACATGACCACATCTTGTAGATGACGAACTTGAAGACCAAGGTGGTGTTTTCCAAAGCATGGAAGAGGAAGTGCAAGCAATGGATGAAGCATTACAGAACCTTCAAGTTGACGAGGATGACTATGGTGTGTATGCAGGCGATATAGAGATTCAATTTGAGGAAGAAGAGCTTGACGATTCAGCACCAGAAGAAGACATGGATGTGGAGCAAGAGCAACAAGATAATGAGCAAGTTCATGATGAGGACAAATACAAGAATTTAACAGATTTGCGAAGGACTGGTATTTGTGAAGAATTGCTAGCAAGAAGTGTCAATCGGAAATTAAAGAAGACCACAACTAGAGAAGTTGCAAACATGTTCCATGTTTCAGTGCACAAGGTCAGACGTGTTTGGAGGAGAGTGAAGGAGTGTCTTCGACAAGGTGTACCCGTTGATGTAAGATCAAGGAAGCCGAAAAACTGTGGGCGCAAAAGGATTGTAGTTGACCTTAGTATGGTTGCTGAGATTCCTCGGAGTCAAAGGAGAACTATATGCAGCCTCGCAAGAGCGTTGGGTGTGAAGAAGACCACACTACATAAGATGTTTACGGACGGCTTGCTCGATAGGCATTCAAGCTCACTCAAACCATATTTGAAGGAAGCAAACAAAAAGCTAGGCTGCAGTTTTGTCTCTCTATGTTTGACTAGCAAAGTTTGCAAAATAGGCCCACGTTCAGGGATATGCGGAATATAATCCATATAGATGAAAAGTGGTTTAACACCACTCAGAAGACCATGAAATTCTACAAGCTGCCATCAGAACAAGACCCGCATAGGACTGTGCAAAATAAGAACTCCATTGGCAAAATCATGTTTTTGGTTGCTATAGCCAGGCCTAGATACAATGCAGAAGGTATTTGCATTTTCGATGGAAAGATATGCATTTGGCCCTTTATCAAAAAGGTGAGTTTCAACCTTTACTTATTTTATTTATTATGCACATCAGTACTTAATCTAACTTGAGTGGCTTTGTTGTTTGTAGGAGCTAGCGCCAAGGAAAAGTGATTACCGTCCAAGGGGGACACTAATCATGAAAACAATCTCAGTTAACACAGAAACGTCCAGGCACTTTTTGATTCAAAAGGTGCTACCAGCTATTCATGCAGTTTGGCCTCAAGAGCTCGCAGGTGAGACCATATGGATCCAACAAGACAATGCGCCCTCACATGTCCCAAGTAATGATCCAGGTTTTCTTAATGTTGTTGCCCAAACTAGGCTTGATATTCGCCTCATGCAACAGCCCTCGAACTCACCGGATATGAATATCCTAGACCTTGGCCTATTTTCTTCACTACAGTCAATGTCTGATAGGCTGGTGTCTAACAATTTAGATGAGCTAATAAACAATGTGCATCATGAATATGATGCCTATGATGCCGATAAGATAAACAGAATTTTCCTAACACTACAAAGCTGCTTAATTGAGGTCATGAAGAGAGGTGGAGGCAACGACTACAAGATCCCTCACATGTACAAGGATGGCCTAGAACGAGCAGGAAATCTTCCTAATGTGACTGTGATCGCGAACTATATGAGAGCATCACGCAGGCCTTAGCCGACTAGGAGTTGTAATATTAGATGTGGTGCAATGCTGTACTTTTGCAATGCTGGACTTTGGGTTAAAATTATTTATCCAACTATTTATTTAGTATGCACAAAATTGATCTTTTCATATCCAACATCTAGCATCTGTAACTTCAAAGACCAGGACTTATTGTTTGTTCGTCAACGTAATACAAATTATGCAACCGGAAATTGTAACGACACTGTCATCTACCAACCATAGTACGAATCAAAGATTGCATCAGCCAACCTACTTGATAAGATTGCAGTGATATGCAGCCACACTTAGATTGCATCCAGCCAACTACTTTTCATACTTGACAAGATTAAACTGATTTGCATCTGGCCAGACTAAAGCCAGACTAATTGACAAGATAACCGTTGTATTGCAACGGATCATGCAAGCCTCAACGTTAGAGACCAAGACTTGATTATTCATTCACGGAGTACAGCTTGCATCGCCAAACTTACAGAGCTATTGGTACTCACGGAGTAGTAGAATTGCTTGTCTTCTCCACGGCGTCCTGGTCAGCCCCAAGACTAGCTTGCCCGGCACCTGCCGGTGCGCCGTTTTGCCCAGCACTTGCCGCCGGGCCGTCCTGCCCAGCTCCATGAGCCGCTCCACCGCAGGGTACAATGCCTACATGCCCGACACCGGCTTCACCGCCAACCCCTGCTCCATCTACCAGCTCTAGGTACCTGGAAATTTTTGCTCCGACGCCGCTCCGCCGAACCCGATTGGTCTTTGAGGGCGGACGAGGACGAAACCTGGCTGCCAGAGCACGGCGAGGGCCTCCAGATCCAGATCCGCCGAGGCCGCGTGTTCCGCCGCCGGCCGTCGCGACGGCCTTGACTTGCTGGCCATCGCCGGCTTCTTCTCCTCCGCCGCCTTCCATGGATGCGGCTTGATGCACACCCTACCGACATCTTATATGGACCGGCTGCCATTAATCTTTGCATCACCAGGAATGGCGTTGGATTGGATGATTGACTCTCTGTGATGTGGGATTGGATCGGGAGGGAGAGAGTTTGGGGGAGAGGAGGAAGACCGGCTTCGATTTGGGGGAGGACAAGAGGATTGGGTTGTCGCTCGGTGCGGTGACCTCGAGGCGTAGACCAGGGGGGTGAATGGAAAATTACCAGCAGGGGAGCCAGATGTACACTTATTTTGGGAAAAAATCAGGAGCCAAACGTATGCTCTTTGGCGGACGGAGGGAGTACTCACCAACGAATCACTGCAGTCTACAGGGAGGGCAAACTATTTCAGGATTGACCGTTCTAGATCCATCTATTCCCAACACAGGTGTGGGTCAAAGACACACACATGCGATCTCGCTCGGCTGGTAAAAAAACTTTTCAGGGGCTTGAGAAGTACTAGAAGTATGAGCAAAATTAACAGCTATAGCATGTATACATGAGCAAAATGCGGCTACACTATGTGAAGTTATTGTTGGGGATCGTAGCAGAAATTTAAAATTTTCTATGCATCATCAAGATTAATCTATGGAGTAATCTAGCAATGAGGGGAAGGGGAGTGCATCTACATACCCTTGTAGATCGCTAAGCGGAAGCGTTGCAAGAACGCAGATGAAGGAGAAGTACTCGCAGCGATTCAGATCGCGGTTGATTCCGATCTAAGCGCCGAACAATGACGTCTCCGCGTTCAACACACGTGTAGCCCGGTGACGTCTCCCACGCCTTGATCCGGCAAGGGGAGAAGGAGAGGTTGGGGAAGACTCCATCCAGCAGCAGCACGACGGCGTGGTGGTGAAGGAGGAGCGTGGCAATCCTGCAGGGCTTCACCAAGCACCGTGGGAGAGGAGGAGGACTTGGGAGAGGGGAGGGTTGCACCAGAACTTGGGTACGACTGCCCTCTCACCCCCCACATATATAGGGGAAAGGGAGAGGGGGGCCGGCCCCCTCAGATCCAATCTGAGGAGGGGGCGGCGGCCAGGGGGGTTGCCTTGCCCCCCAAGGCAAGGGGGCGCCCCCTTTAGGGTTCCCCCAAACCCTAGGCGCATGGGCCCTAGGGGAGGAGGCGCCCAACCCACTAAGGGGCTGGTCCCTCTCCACACACAGCCCATAGGGCACTCCGGGACAGGTGGACCCTCCCGGTAGACCCCCGGAACCCCTTCGGTGGTCCCAACACAATACCAGTAACCTCCCGAATTATTCCGGTGATCGTATGATGACTTCTCATATATAAATCTTTACCTCCGGACCATTCCGGAACTCCTCGTGACGTCCGGCATCTCATCCGGGACTCCGAACAACATTCGGTAACCACGTACATCTATTCCCTATAACCCTAGCGTCATCGAACCTTAAGTGTGTAGACCCTACGGGCTCGGGAATCATGCAGACATGGCCGAGACAACTCTCCGGTCAATAACCAACAGCGGGATCTGGATACCCATGTTGGCTCCCACATGCTCCACGATGATCTCATCGGATGAACCATGATGTCAAGGATCCAATCAATCTCGTATACAATTCCTGTTGTCTATCGGTACGATACTTGCCCGAGATTCGATCGTCGGTATCCCGATACCTTGTTCAATCTCGTTACCAGCAAGTCTCTTTACTCGTTCTGTAACACATCATCCCGTGATCAACTCCTTGGTCACATTGTGCACATTATGATGATGTCCTACCGAGTGGGCCCAGAGATACCTCTCCGTTACACGGAGTGACAATCTCAGTCTCGATTCGTGCCAACCCAACAGACACTTTTGAAGATACCCGTAGTGCACCTTTATAGCCACCCAGTTACATTGTGACGTTTGTCACACCCAAAGCACTCCTACGGTATCCGGAAGTTGCACAATCTCATGGTCTAAGAAAATGATACTTAACATTAGAAAAGCTTTAGCATACGAACTACACGATCTTGTGCTAGGCTTAGGATTGGGTCTTGTCCATCACATCATTCTCCTAATGATGTGATCCCGTTATCAACGACATCCAATGTCCATGGTCAGGAAACCGTAACCATCTATTGATCAACGAGCTAGTCAACTAGAGGCTTACTAGGGACATGGTGTTGTCTATGTATCCACACATGTATCTGAGTTTCCTATCAATACAATTATAGCATGGATAATAAACGATTATCATGAACAATGAAATATAATATAATAATAACTAATTTATTATTGCCTCTAGGGCATATTTCCAACAGTCTCCCACTTGCACTAGAGTCAATAATCTAGTTCACATCGCCATGTGATTAACACTCACAGGTCACATCGCCATGTGACCAACATCCAAAGAGTTTACTAGAGTCAATAATCTAGTTCACATCACTATGTGATTAACACTCAACGAGTTCTGGGTTTGATCATGTTATGCTTGTGAGAGAGGTTGTAGTCAAAGGGTCTGCAATATTCAGATCCCTATGTATTTTGCAAAACTTTATGTCATATCGTCGATGTTGCTACCACGTTCCACTTGGAGCTATTCCAAATTGTTGCTCCATTACACGTATCCGGTATCTCTATTCAGAGCTATCCGGATAGGTGTTAATCTTGCATCGACGTAACTCTTTACGTCGAACTCTTTATCACCTCCATAACCGAGAAACATTTCCTTATTCCTCTAAGGATAATTTTGACCGCTATTTGGTGATCCACTCCTAGATCACCTTTGCACCTTCTTGCCAGACATGTGGCAAGGCACACATCAGGTGCGGTACTGTAACACCCTCGATGCGACTATAGCTCCCACGTGTCGAGGCACGACTTAGAGACATAATCGCATTGAAGGCATCTGTAGGCAATCTTCACAACATCCCATGTAATATGAATAATAAAGGGGAGAACATAGTTGGCTTACACTCGCCACGTCAATCAAGAACATAAATAACATTACATCATCCAAAACACTCATGGCCCGACTACGGTGCCAAAATAGAAGAGAACCCAACATGCGACACGGTCCCAATCAAACCCCAACTAGGCACCACTACTGATCGTCAAGAAAAGACACGTAGTATCGCTGAGAGTCTTCGTCAAACTCCCACTTGAGCTCGTACTCGTCACCTGGAGCAGAATCCCCTGGACCTGCATCTGGTGTAATAGTAATCTGTGAGCCATAGGGACTCAGCAATCTCGCACCCTCGCGATCAAGACTATTTAAGCTTAAGGTATGGCAAGGTAAAATATGAGTGGAGCTGCAGCAAGCGACTAGCAAGTATGGTGGCTAACTTATTCGCAAAAGAGAGCGAGAAGAGGGGGCAAAGCACGAGCGAGAAGCTAGAGGGCAACCTGCGCAAACATTACTCCAACACCGTGTCCACTTCCCGGACCCCACCGAGAAGAGGCCATCACGGTAACACACTCAGTTGATTCATTTTAATTAATTAAGGTTCAAGTTATCTACAACCGGACATTAACAAATTCCCATCTGCCCATAACCGCGGGCACGACTTTCAATAGTTCAATCCCTGCAGGGGAGTCCCAACTTAGCCCATGAAAAGCTCTCATGGTCAACGAAGGAATAGACCTCCTCCCAAGACGTTCCGATCAGACTCGGTATCTCGGTAACTCAAGACACTTCGACAGGTTAAAACAAGACCAGCAACACCGCCCGAATGTGCCGACAAATCCCGATAGGAGCTGCACATATCTCTTTCTCAGGGCACACTCAGATTGTCCTAGTACGGGTAGGCCAGCCCAGAGTTGCCCCTGGTGGCCACCGGTAGCTAACAGGTGGACCAACACTCAGAGGAGCACTGGCCCGGGGGGGGGTTAAAATAAGATGACCCTTGAGTCTGCAGAACCCAAGGGAAAGAAAAGGCTAGGTGGCAAATGGTAAAACCAAGGTTGGGCATTGCTGGACAAGCTTTAATCAAGGCGAAATATCAAGGGGTTTCCATTATAACCCAACCGCGTAAGGAACGCAAAATCCGGGAACATAACACCGATATGACGGAAACTAGGGCGGCAAGAGTGGAACAAAACACTAGGCGAGAGGCCGAGCGTTCCACCCTTTACCAAGTATATAGATGCATTAAGATAACATAGCAATATAATGATATCCCAACAAGTAAATAAATGCTCCAACAAGGAACGGCTCCAATCTTCACCTGCAACTAGCAATGCTATAAGAGGGGCTGAGCAAAGCGGTAACATAGCCAATCAACGGTTTGCTAGGACAAGGTGGGTTAGAGGTTTGACATGACAATTGGGAGGCTGACAAGCAAATGGTAGGCATCGTAGCATTGGTATAGCAAAGAGCGAGCAAACTAGCATAGCAAAGATAGTAGTGATTTCGAGGGTATGATCATCTTGCCTGCACAGTTGTCAGAGTTGACTGGATCCTCGAAAGCAAACTCAACGGGCTCCTCGGTAGCGAACTCATCTCCCGGCTCTGCCCAAACAAGACAAATAAGCAACAAGGATACAATCAACCACGTGCAAGAACAAGCAATATGATGGAGTGATGATATGCTATGCGGGATGCAAAATGCAAGATATGATAGGAAATGCATGAACCTGGCCTCAACTTGGAATTCCAAGGGTGCCACTGGAAAAATGAGATGAAATCGCTTGAAAACGATATAAAGATCATCGGAATCGGAGTTACGGTTTGGAAATGGCAAGCGATTCAAAAATTGACACTGGTCTGCGATTTACAGCAAGTAGGCGTCTAAATGCAATGAGATGAACATGCTACAGACACCAAACATGACAACAAAATGCATGTTATGGATGTACACAAGATGCTTAACAAAAGTCTAGCACTGAGCTACGGCCAATTCATCCATTATGAGGTTCAAACAAGCATGGCAAAAACGCAAATGCAAAACAGATTCCAGACTTAGTGAAATTAACACTTGTCTGAAATTTCAGATCACGAAGCCCTTTTCGGAGCAGCAAAACAACATGATACATGA